ACGTTTGTTTTCATTCAAAGGCTTTATGGTTTTTCCTATAATACCTGGTGGGCCGGTCTCTAGTCAAATGCCCGGGCTGATTTTTTGTCCCAGTCCAGCCCTGTTCAATAGTGAGGGGAGGGTGGAGCCTGAGATTGACAGACGGTTTGAGGCAGTATACGGATGGATGGGCAAAGTCGGCGACACAAAGCAAAGATAAAAAACAGCTTAATGCCACTTCAGAGTGGTTGCCATGGTGATTTTACAGTACCTGTTAACATTCAGGCTCTGGCTGCTGGGCTGGGGTCAGCAGCTCTCAGCTTTACCACACACAAACTGATGTTTGACGTTTTATTTTCTTATTTAAGTGCAGATAGCAGCAGCACCTCGTGATGAACATAACAACATGATTGTAATTAATGTCTTTACTGAATGTAGTACAGTTACTGAAAAATGTTATGTGATTACAGTTACAGTTGCACCTAACGCTGCCGATCTCTTAACGCTGAAGCTCCAGAACCTGCAGTTCCTCTGACGCCCAGCAGAGGCATCAGTGGGTCAGTCCCCATAGACTTCATGTTCAAATCATGTTTGCAGCCTGATAAATGAACTGATTGGTCTCTATGGAGATCATTTCATAACATCAGTATTTTATAAATCACTTAAATTGCACTAAAGCTTAAAGTTTGCATTATTAGGGGCGCGGCCTCTGTGGCTATGCCCTTCGCCTCGTTCATGCAGCCTGTTTAAAGCAGCCGGCTGATGCGATTGGACCGTGTCACAGACCCTCTCAGACGTGCTGCTTTTTCATCGTCTTTCTGCAGTAAATCAGGATTTTGTGCTGCAGACGTTTGTTTGTTCAGGTCTGAATCAGAGAAGAAGAAACGCTGCAGGTTTTTACTGTCTGCCTGAACCACAGAAGAAGAAGAGAAATGAGACATGAGGGGGAGGAGGGCAGCACCTTGCCTCGGGGCGCTTTTGCTGTCCTCCATCTTAACCTCGATGCGTACACAGCAGCATTCACTGATGTCTTCCTTCCAGTTTAAAAGCTCGCTTTTACTTTTATTTTTACATGGCAGCGTTTTTTAGGTTAGGGTTAGACTTTTCAGTGTGTGTGTGCTTGTGTGTGTGTGTGTGCCTGTGTGCAATCGGACAAATGCATTTTCTTTATTCAGACTCAGAATAGAAAGAGAGAAAATACAGACGATGGACGGATGCGAGGATGCTTTAGTCGTTTAAAGATGCTTTTCCTCTGCAGTGGTTACACAACACACACACAAACAGAACAAAGTGAAGCCCCAGCATCGCTTCTCATTTAAGCTCCTCTAACAAAACTCGTCTCACTTTCAGAAGAACTGCAGAAGAATCAAAGAGTTGAATGGTCTTTGAGCTGAAATGTCACTCACAAGCTTTTAAATTTGACCAAATATTCAAAAAAATGTCTCAGAGGTTAGTAGTGATGCTCTGAGTGTGAGAGGAGTAACGATGGAGCAGCAAGCGACGTTTAATGACTCGTAAATTTAAAAAGCATCACTCACAGGTTTACAGCACAGCTTCCACTTTAGGTACGGCTCATTAAAGGAGCTCCATTCAGACCACCTTAAGAGCATGCTGATCTAACAAATTCAAAGCCTTCATTCCACCTTAAAAGACAAATGGCACATTGGAAACTCTCACTTATTCCACTTTAACTGAGAAGCATCTGCTCATGCTGCCTTAACACATGGCTTCACAGAGAAAACTCTTACCACCTTAAAAGAAAAAAAATGTGTTCACACAGCAGGAATGTAAGTTACTCCATACCGCCTTAAACCCAAACACCATCTGTCTCACCTTAATGGAGATAATACAGCTATAAAATCTCTCTCATATCACCTTAAGTGCCAAAAAACAACCTTGTTCATACCACCTTAATAGATAATAAAAAAAGAAAAATCAGATGTTACGGTTCGGCGTTGGCAGTGTATTGTTTTAGGCGTTTTGTTTTGGCGTGACTGTTATGTGTTTCCTGTTTTACTTTGAAAGTCTGTGTTATCTTAGTGTTCAGTTTAC